TAGGGGCTGTCAATCTGATTACAGATCAGTTTAAATTTTCAAAATCTGACCATAAACAAAAAAGTTATGAATTTTTTTGTCATTAAAAAATAGCAGTTTTTTCAGACAACCGGGGTAGACCCTGAAAGAGGAAAAATACTGGGAGGGTATGGACCAAATTTTAAAGAGTTTTCCACTAAAAGTGGTATTAAAGCAAGCAGACTTTATCAATTGATGTCATGTTATGATATTTTATAGATTTTTGTATGCCGAATCCAATGATGCTATTTTAAAAAGTGTCCTTCGATTACATAATCGACTAATCTCATAGATTATGTAATACCCCCCCTTTCAATTTTTTTAAAACATCTAATAATCAATGTGATAAGAAGTCATTGTTTAAATGTAACACTGTTTTAATCTATAATATGACATTTATATATGCTGAAGCTAATGGTAGTATTTAAAATGGTCCAACATTGTTACATAACTATCAAATGTTAAGGTTATGTAATACCACCCTTTGCTCAAAATATACCATTAATTAGTTTTGAAATCACTTTTGCTCATTGTCAGTTAACTTCAAGTTAATAGCCTACCAAAAGAAAATATAACTAATCAAGTTTTACAATACAAAGGGAAGAATGCTATTACAATAGTAAATTTGTGATTATGTAACTTCTTAAAAGATGTTATGTAATCTATGTCCAATACTTTAGGCCTACTCTATTCCAAAATTTAGGCCAATTTCATTATAATTATATTTCTTGTTATTTTGCTATAAAATTAGTCTAGTCACAAATGTGTCTGATCAGAATCAGAGTGTGCTTTATGATAATTACGTAATATTATTACCCATATTAAAATTATTCCTTTTTACAATTTCAATAAAATATTTTTTGGAGGAAATTTTTTTTTTTTAAAACTTGCACAAGGTATAGATCTAGTGTAAGTTATAGGTCTATAACATAAATTATATTTAAGCCCAATGTTTATGCTAGTAGTAAGTAGGCTTATGTATTTTTGTAGGCCTACCAGTAGGCCTTTTACAATTAAAAACTTTCTTAAGAAAAAAGCACGTGTTTGAGTGCTTGACTGTGTAGATCTTGTAGACTCTAGAAATTGTGTAAGATCACCGTGTTTGGCTATACACAGACACGTGTACCACCACCAGCTTTTGCCTAGATTTTGTTTAATCTGACTAGCCAGATCTTCTGACCAACGAATTTTATTGCCCTATTACGTAAACACGACCGCTGGATAGGCTAGTCGGCCAACCCGATGAACGTGTCAGACGAATATTATGTACTTTCAGAGACAAAAGTCTGGCAAGATTTCTTGATCTATGCCCGAGGGTTAGTAACATCAACTCCACAAAGTGAAGGGGGAGGTAGGTGGGGTATGAATCCACCACGAACTGAGTAGGTACCGTACGGGTGTTGTACAACATCAAAGGCGACGACCATCGGCTCGTCGCGTCACGGACTAGTGGGGGCGGGGTGAGGCTTACGTAGGCTATGGGTGTTACGTTGGGTGTTATCAGTGTTTCTTCCAGACTTTTTTCTCCGGGGGGGCACTTGAAATCTTCGGGGGGGCGGTTAACTTTCTTCGGGGGGGCGGACACTGTTAAAAGTATATATTTTCTATATAAATTATATAAATTTCATTTCGTTCGGGGGGGCGGTAAAAATTTTTCGGGGGGGCTTCGCCCCCCCGAAGAGATGCCTGGAAGAAACTCTGGGTGTTATACAGAATGCCCACCCACACCCACCCCATCCCTTTTTGGTCAATTATTACAGGCTAGTATCCTCCACGTTGTTAAGCGTATTTAAATGTGTAGTGAAAAAAAGGGGGACCGGGAAAAAAATTAAAGCCGTTTTTATGAAAAAGAAATGCTCTAATTTTAAATGAAATTAGGGTGCGCGAAACGCAGAATTGTTATAATCGGACAGTAACCATCTGGATTAATTTAAAAAACAAGATAAATTTGAAACCTGAGCCGTAAATATTAATAAGACTTTTTTCCCCTTTAAATGGGTAAGGACAAAATTATGAAACATGCCTGTCGGCTTATAGATATAATCTATATAAAATAGAAATAGCCGTCGAGTCTAACACGGGAACACATGTAGGCCTATCTATCTTTAGAAATTGTTTACAGTATCATCCAATCGGATCGACCGCCTAGCGTCACGTGACCAGGCATTCGGATGTGCCACACGGTGTGTAGATCGACACAGCAGAGCACGCAGTCGGACAGCGGTCGGCGCGTTAATTTTAATTTTTGCTCCATTTTAAAATGTATGGGCGGCTTTATTTGGGGGTATTGTAGAGAAAATCATACATATAAATAAACGTCCAGATTTCAGCAATACAGCGCAGGGTTCAAATTAAAAATCGGTCTATAAATAACCCGGGAAACTTGGTTCAACTTTGCTGTACGATATCTCCGAAAGTATTTAATATATTTTGACGACGAACCCTGCGCTGTATACGTCTACATCTAATCTGTATTTCTGTCAAGTTTCACTGTTGTAGTATGTAAACTCGATTCGTGTATAAATATTTTGTAACGCGTCGTCTGTTTAAAGAGGGCGATTCGAAGCACAGCCGAGCGGTTCAGTCGGACAGCGGTCGGCGCGTTATGTTTTGATTTTCGGTCCACTTCAAAGTCTATAGACGTCTCTATCTTAGGGCATTATAGTACATATCATACATATTAATAAACGTCCAGATTTCAGCAATACAGCGCAGGGTTCAAATTAAAAATCGGTCTATAAATAACCCTGGAAACTTGGTTCAACTTTGCTGTACGATATCTCCAAAAGTATTTAATATATTTTGACGACGAACCCTGCGCTGTATACGTCTACATCTAATCTGTATTTCTGCCAAGTTTCACAGTTGTAGTACGAAAACTCGAAGAGTCTATAGACTCAAAGTAACACCCCTGTTTTAAAAAGGCGAAAAAGCCTCCCCCCTAATCGGCACGTCGCCGCGGAGGGTAAAAAATGCGATTTAATCGGCGATTTCTTCAACGTTTGAAATCATATTAAAATCAAAATTGTACAGTTTAAAAGGTTATTCAATTACGAACAGAATGGTGTATAACATGTTAATATAAACACAATAAAATCATGCAAAAAACAGAGTTAAACATGCAGGGGGTAGGGAAAAGCCGATTTGTCCGATTTTCTCGGCAGCGGCATTGGCCTAGCTACAAATATCATTTCCACATAGGCCTACATAAGATATGTCTACTCAGTAATCTTCTCTCATCTAGAATAACCTTTTAAAAAATCGAGATTCCAACGTATTTGAAACTAACCTTGATACAGTGGGAAGACCAAAGCAGAGACAGCATGCAATCAGGTCGCAATGCCATTAAAACTAAGGGAAAATCACTCTACTTTTTAATTAACCTTAGGAAATGACCTTTTAAACTTAATTAATTACCATAAATTAAAAACTTATTAGTATGCAAAACCAAATCTCGAAAGTAATGGGTGATTTCGTGTCATGTTTTTACCACGAACTCGGCGGATGCCAACAACCCTACTATTATTGATATTTTTTTTATTAAAAAATTATTTTGAAATTGTCTACAAAATGCCTACATTGATGATCGTTTATTATTTTTTAAACTGAAAGTATGAATTATTATTTAGGTAGGGCCTAGTTAATAGGCTATTTAGATTGCAGGTTTTGTAACTTAGTAGGCTTTTTGATGAGAATTACAGAATGATTTTTTTTATTAAAAATGTATCAATAATAGCTAGAACACTAGTAAACTAAGCTAATTTAGCATATTTGAACTTTCTGTGTAAAGTCATTATTACTGAAAAAAATTCCAAAGTCAGGTCAGTCTGTGGCAACCTCCAATGAACTTGACAGAAGGAAAAAAAACTTGACCCGTGACCTTCATTAAAACAGAATTTGCTTTTATCTTTTTTTTATTTTTAGTAAACATGTGCTTAATCTTACCCAATAAGTGATAAAAATTTGAAAATTAATCCTAATTACTGCTGTAAAGTGAGATAAACAGCTTAATAAACACATGTTTTCTTGAGGGGGCGTGGCACATCGCAATTATAACTTAATGTTTCTGTGTTTTATGACTATATTAGTATATTTGTACACAATCAGGATGCTATGCTTTTAAAATTGATAAATGGTAAGTATACCAAGTTACAAAACCTGCAATCTAACTAATAATCCATACTTTCAGTTATAAAAACGATCATCAATAAAGAAAGCGTAAACATTCTATTTTTAGGTGTGACATAAAAAAACAGTCATAAATCTAGCCAAATGATTGGATTCTTGCGCAGCACACATTTTCCCGCGCCTCGTTTTCACTAAGCAAGATTATAATAAAATGGCATTATTGGGGGGTGATCGTTTTCCCACGCACATATCTCATTAACACGCCAAATTATTACCAGTTAATGGTAATGTGTGTAAAATTAATACTTTAAAGTTTACATCTGACATAAGCTGGTTTGCATCTGGAAGCGATATGTGTAAGAGTTATTTGATATAAAAGACAAGAATTCATAGAGCTATTTTCACTAACACGTCGCTTGCGAGACAAACAAAGAAATTAGGTCAAAAGTACATCTGGGAATTCTTAAATAACAGACTGAAATAGAAACGGATAGTTCCGATGTCTAAAATTAACGATGGCCTCGTAATTATTAGTTTTATCCCTCTACCGTTTAGTGAAAGCGAAACTGGTCGCCATTTTTATTAAGCGCATGAGCCGTGAGATGCCACGAAAATGACAAACCCGGAAGCGTTGAACCGAACGGCCTAAACTTAGGTTTATTTCATTAATTTTAATTAATTTTACGGTCGCTTTGTTTGCTAAATCTAAAAAAGCACGTTTTTATTCCATGTCAACAACATGATGGAAGGATTCTCGTCAACTCGCTCGCGTACATTTTAGGCCTATTTAGTTTAGAATTTACTCAATTTAGAATAATTTAGAATTTAGATTCTACCAAATTTTAAGTTCCTACCTGAACCTGAAGTACCTGAATCAGGGCATTCTTTTGACTGTACGATGATGTTTGATACGATTGAGGTAGAGGTCAACAGTACAAAGAGGTTTAAATTGAACATTTTAAAATAATTTTGCATAGGACCTAGAATCTATATCTAAACTTGATGTATACTAGATAGTAGATACTAGATCTAGCTAGACTAGACAATATTTGACTTATTTGTTTCCTTCCCTGTAGCAACAACCTTCGTCACTTCCCACTTCCTTTAGTTTGCCAGCTTTTTTACGGTATTTAGGCTGAATAATCTGATACGCTTGTTAGTAGATTATTAAATTACATTGGCCTAATAATTGACAAAAACTTCAAGATCTAGATTTTATTTTTTGTCGGACTAAAAACATGAGGTCTTATTTTCTTATATATATATATATATGTTAACATTTTGACATACGTTTTTTTTTTAAAGTTATAAATGTCTCTACTGGCCTAAAGTCTATGGTTAAGAGGTTCTCAGTATTTAATTACTTGTCAATGCCATCGTTACCCATTACACGTGAATTATAGTATTATAGGCTTATTTTTTTAAAAGTGTTATACATATAGATCTACTTGTTTGAGAAAAATATTTTATTACATAGTTAATGATTAAAACGAAATGTAGCGGCCTCTCCTGCTACGACTATTTCAGTGGCGGAACTAGAAAAAAAAGCACCACCCAACCAGCAGAATTTTTGGGGGCCCTGTATATATCTATATCTATATCTATATCTATATCTATATCTATATCTATATCTATATCTATATCTATATCTATATCTATATCTATATCTATATCTATATCTATATCTATATCTATATCTATATCTATATCTATATCTATATCTATATCTATATCTATATCTATATCTATATCTATATCTATATCTATATCTATATCTATATCTATATCTATATCTATATCTATATCTATATCTATATCTATATCTATATCTATATCTATATCTATATCTATATCTATATCTATATCTATATCTATATCTATATCTATATCTATATCTATATCTATATCTATATCTATATCTATATCTATATCTATATCTATATCTATATCTATATCTATATCTATATCTATATCTATATCTATATCTATATCTATATCTATATCTATATCTATATCTATATCTATATCTATATCTATATCTATATCTATATCTATATCTCTATCTACATCTACATCTACATCTACATCTACATCTACATCTACATCTATATCTATATATCTGTATCTGTATCTGTATCTGTATCTGTATCTGTATCTGTATCTGTATCTGTATCTGTATCTGTATCTGTATCTGTATCTGTATCTGTATCTGTATCTGTATCTATATCTATATCTTTATCTATATCTATCAATCAATCAATCTATATATATATATATATATATATATATATATATATATATATATATATATATATATATATATATGGTGCCCTGTCAAAACGGCCCGGGACAAATCGGCCCCGTCAAAACGGCCCCGTTAATACGACCCCGTCAAATCGACTCCCGACAAACCGACCCCGTCAAAATAGCCCCGTCAAAAGGGCCTCGACTTATTGGCTCCCGTCAAATGGGCTCCCGTCATATTGACTTGCGACATATAGGCTCCCGACAAATGGGCTCCCGATATTTAGGCTCCCGACAAATGGACTCCCGACATATTAACCCCTGACAAATAGGCTCAGGACATATTGGCTCCCGACAAAGCGGGTCCCGACATATTGGCTCCCGACATAAGGGCTAAAGACAAATGGGCTCCCGGCAAATGGGCTCACGACATTTTGGCTACCGACAAATGGGCTCCCGACATATTGGCTCCCGGCAATTGGGCTCCCGACATATAGGCTTTTGACAAAATGACTCCCGACATATTGGCTCCAGAAAAATGAATGATATGACCACTATTGGCATAAAAGTAACCATTGTGTCCTACCTCCAATACCACCATAACCTCTTTTTAATGCCCGAATGAAATTATTTTTTCATGAACCAACATTAATTCACAAACAAATCGAGCCCTTAACAGCTAAATTCTACCAATTCTAAAGTTTTGATAATGTTTAATTTACAACAGAAAAGATCTGTTGCTTAAAAGCGAGCACAGAAGTGTAAATGTATGATATACATGATGTTAACATGATAACAGCATTTTGTTTTGATAACCTACAAGCACAGTGGCGTAGCGAGGTCGGGTGTTACCCGGTGCGGCACTAAATGGTGTCACCCCCCCCAGAGGCGTTGCGACCCTTCCCGGGGACAAACTTTCAAGTTTTCGATTTGCACCCCCCCCCCAAACTTTCGATTTGCACCCCCACCCCCTCAACTTTTTCTCTATATATTTTGCTATTTTTTGCCTTTGTGTCACCCCCCTAAATGGTGTCACCCGGTGCGGTCCGCACTCCCCGCCCCCCCCCCCCCTCCCCCCCTCGCTACGCCCCTGTACAAGCATATTGCAGTTAGGAAGGTACAGCGTGGACCCTTCTCCCCACACAATGAGTTGGAACAGCCTATAACCGACTCAATTATGGATGTCATAGATAGATGACCCTTAAATTAAAACATACTATATTTTATAATAGATAAACTAATATAAAAATAAGGCCTGCCGAACAAGAGATGCATACGTTGTATTACATAAGAGTGTTGGATAAGCTAACTCTAAAGAATATTGATGAAGGGGTCCCACTGGCAGATGTCATATTCAATGAGACCGCTTTGCCGGGAGACTTAGTCTCTACAGAAACGGTATTGTCAGTGCAGTGGCATAGCTAGGATTTTTGGGCCCCTATGCAAAAATTATCAGTGGGCCCCTTCGTCAGCCGTTAGGCCAGTGGCGTCGCTAGGTCGGGTCTCACCCGGTGCGGCACTTCGTATTGTCACCCCCTCCCAGGAAACAAAGCATATATATATATATATATATATATATATATATATATATATATATATATATATATATATATATATATATATATATATGTGTGTGTATATATATATATATATATATATATATATATATATACATATATATATATATATATATATATATATATATATATATATATGTATATGTATATATATATATATATATATATATATATATATATATATATGTGTGTGTGTGTGTGTGTCGGCCTACATAGGCCTAAAATTTATATATATGCCACATACTGGTACACGTACGTGTTTAAGCTTTAATCACTGCTGACTTAATAGTAACGATGTTTATCTACAGTCTGTTTATAATACAGTTGGATGTAGCATTGTTTTCTTTATAGTTTACGTCGTGGTGTCACATCCCCCCCCCCCTCTTGATATAATTTTCGATTTGTACTTAGAAGACTATTTAACTTTAACTAATGGATCTGGAAAATGGCATTTCATTCTATAAATTTTACAACTTTTTGCCTTTGGTGTCACCCCCCCCCCTAAATGGTGTCACCCGTTGCGGTCCGCACCCCCCGCCTCGCCTTCGCTACGCCTCTGCGTTAGGCTACAGAGGAGTTAAACGAAGAGATCAACTTCTACTTACGATGGATATTTTTTAATATATAAATATTCTGAAGGCAACATTTTGTATTTTATATGTCCTGATTTTGTATTTATACTATATTATTATGCTTGCCTACTACTGCTAAAAAGTTTATTTATAGGCTGATTCTCTCAATGTATTGCACGACAAAGTGATATAGCCTGTAGTGTTATTATAACGATTGGGCTCTGTTTGATCCACAAACACTGAATCCCACTGCCGAAACACCCCCCCCCCCCCAATGGGGGCTGGGGGGGGGGGGGCTTTTTGGAACTTTTAACCTTTTTCTTTTTTAAAATTATTTATATGTAACAAATATTAAAATTCCATTGTAAAAGTTTTAATTTTTTATGAGGGAAAGGGCCCCTATGTGCCTTGGGCCCCCATGCCTTGCTTACGCTAGCTTTACGGTAGCTACGCCACTGTGTCAGTGGTCCTTTTGTCTGGAGCCAAATTGACAGGAGCCTTTTTGTCGGGAGCCAAAATCACGCTAGCCTATTTGTCGGGAGTCGTAATGACGGGGGCCGTTTTGTGGAGAAACTAAATGGCGGGAGCCTATTTGTCGGTAGTCGTAATGACGGGGGCCGTTTTGTGGAAAAAACTAAATGACGGGAGACTATATGTCGGGAGCCAAAATGACGGGAGCCTATTTGTCAGGAGCCTTATTGACTGGAGCCCTTTTGTCGGGAGCCTATATAACGGGAGCCTATTTGTCGGTAGCCTAAATGACGGGAGCCTATTTGTCGGGAGCCTATATGACGGGGTCCATATGTCGCTGGCCCTTTTGACGGGGCCGATTTGACGGGGTCGTTTTGACGGGGTCGTTTTGTCGGGGTCGTTTTGACGGGGCCGTTTCGTCATTGGCCGAATTGACGCCGCACGATATATATATATATATATATATATATATACATATATATATATATATATATATATATATATATATATATATATAAACAAATATATATATATATATATATATATATATATATATATATATATATATATATATATACTAGCGTACCAGCCCCCGCGCGTTGCCGCGGGAATAGAAGAAAGTCCGACGAAATATATAAGAAGGGTTTCATCCAATCCTATATTCTTAGACGCGTGACCTTGTTTTCTAAAAGTGAGTTATTTAATTGTAACATTGCCTGCGCTTGGATCATAAATATCGTGACACGGGTTTACCTACACTACCGCATGAAAACTTTGAGTGTACGTTAATCACTCACCGAAACAATGAGGTAGAACACACGTCAGTGACCGCCCATGTGTCAGGACTTAGAGGGGCGTTCTAAAGAGCCCCCCTCTCCCGATTACACTACCGCATGGGCGCCGCATCATTCTCTAAAGTGACACAAATGAACGGGTTTGTTTAGAATTATAATAACCTATATGTTAAATTGTTAATCCATGTGGGTGGGGAGAAGGGAAATTAAATACATCCAGAAGAAAAAAAATATTATAATACATGTACACAAGCGTATACACATGCTTACATGCTTACACATGCTTATATATATATATATATATATATATATATATATATATATATATATATATATATATATATATTCTTACGGGGGAGGGGGTGACACCATTAAGTGCCGCACCGGGTGACACCCGACCTCGCTACGCCACTGCTAGTTATATCCCCTTCTGTTATTGAATATAGTAATATATCGGATGATTTAATTTTGTTATCTCCTCTTAGTTTCGAAACCTTTCAATTAATTTTTAATGAATAATTAAAGTAATGTGTAATCACATGGGGGGGGGGGGCGGAGCAAAATTGTTAGTTTGTCCCCGGCGCTGAAATGAGTTGCTACGTCTCTGTAAAGAGTTCGAGATCTGATTAGAGATAAGGATTGAGAGTTGGATAAGGAAATGGATAATATTGCAATAATATGTATTCTACATGTAAAAATGTATTTTAAAAGAGGGTGGTAATTACCAGAGGGGAGGGGATAATTGAGAAGGGGAATACTGATACGGTTGGCATTTGAATCGGAGGTTATTGTCACGGGGGGGGGGGGGGGAGCAGTGTTTCTTCCATACTTTTTTCTCCGGGGGGGGGGGAGGGGCACTTGAATTTTTTTTTTGGGGGGGGGGGGGGGCGGAATAAAATTTGGGGGGGGGGGACACTTTAAAAAGTATATTTTCTATATAAATTCCATTTCGTTCCATTTCGCCCCCTCCCCCCCCCATCCCTCCCCCCGAAGAGATGCCTGTAAGAAACTCTGGTGGGGGGGGATTTAATGTCAGGGAGGAAGGGAGTTAATTACCTGGTCCCGTCCTACCCCACAGTGATACTCCCCATTGTTCAATAGGTGTGACCTCACCACCCGTGACATGAGTAATTACATGACACTGTGGAACTTAATTCTAGTATAACGAGCTAACGAGTGCAAAAGATTATAAATTAATTATTATTAATAATGCACTCAAAAGGGCGACGAAACCTGACTCTAGTGGATATTTGCATGCTAAACCTAAAGTGTGAGTCAGCGACAAAATAATAGCGTGTATCGCATTCTACTTAAAGAAGTTGCATCAATCATACTGCTAGTATATAATCCTTTGTAAGATTTTAAACACTACTTAATTCTAATAGTTTAAGTAACATATAATAAGCATATTTCACTCGCGGTTGGATTTACCCGCCCCCACCCTTCCTCCACACAAACTACGCCAATGACGTTTAATTGCAACATCCTTAACCAAACAAAGATCTTAATTAATTACTTTCCGTTCAACAGATGTTCATAAAAGCTTAACAGCTTTTTATATCCATGCGCTTATCTAATTTAATTAAGTAGCTAAAATTTAGTATAAAAGCTTCAGTAACTAAGAGGCCAGCTACAATTTGACTGTCGTCTATTTGCTGAAGAAAATGAAGCTATTTCATTGGTGTTTGTTCATAGCCTTCTGTGGAACTATTTCAGGTAGTCAACGAGATACATTTGTTAAAAGCTTGCTTTATTACAAATGTACTGCTTTTACTTTGTTAGTTTTATTATACAGTTTATTATGTTTTTTAATTCTTACTGATTCATCCTATACTATTGTTACCACAATAATGTGGTTGCTCAGCTATGTTGTTCCTATCACAGCGAATTTTAAACTGAGATAATATTAATAGGCTGCCTCAATAGGGTGAAATTATAAAAAGTGTAACCTAATATGAGTTAAAAATAATGCCACAAACACACATTACATTTTTTAATGTTTATAGTAAGATATTTAAACAAGAGGAACGTTAAATAAATAAATGTATTTTTTTTTTCCAAATCAAAATACTAATTTAAATTTTTAAAAAGGAATTTAACGATATACTGCAAACAATGACAGCTTTAACTAAAATCACACAAACTTCTAGGTTGTCCCTTATTCCATACTCTATTTGTATTCAAAGTGATTGAAAGATAGCGTTATAATTATGTTTTCCATTTAGGCCGATTATTTAGACATTTTGATTAGAATCCTGCTGCGTTTCCACTCAGTAGCGTAGCGAGGGGGGGGGGGCGGACATATGTCCCCGGGCGCCGACCTTAGGGGGGGGCGCCAAATTGAAAGTTTGAGGGGGGAGTGCAAATGAAAAGTTCGAGGGGGGGTGCAAATCGAAAATTTGAGGGGGGGGGGTGCAAATGAAAAGTTCGAGGGGGGGGGTGCAAATCGAAAATTTGCTCTCGAGGGGGCGCCAAATTGGAAGTATGTCCCCGGGCGCCGGGAAGGGTCGCTACGCCTCTGTTTCCACTACACCCAATGCGCTTACAACTGCCTGTTGTCCATACATAATGTCACATTGTAAGGCGGGAGGGAGATTTAAACATTTGTGACAATATAGTAGTTGGTAATACGGAGGGGTGGGTGCGGTTTAAAAAATGTGACGTAGTGTAAAATCTTGCATTAAGTTTTAATAATTAAAAACTCATGTGGGCTTTGGAGACAGAGGTGTTAATAATTTACATTTGTACAACCTTAAAGAACAAATTGGACATAATTCTGACCACACTATCCCTTAATATGAAACAGGTTAAATCTACTTTACCTGCACCATGTACCGTCAGCTTCAAACGGAAACTTTTCTTATATAACAAACACATAGCCCTGATTTCTTATGCCGAGGTCACAGAAAAGTTGTAAAACGACACAATTTGTCACAATCTCAATTTAGATTTTTTTGCACGATTACAATGCATCCTTTATATTCCGTAGACGATAAAGTAAAACGGCGAAAACTGTCAAAATTTCATTTAATTTCCGTGCACAATTACAAATACGAATAAAGTAAAAACGTGCGATTGTTAAGTCTTAAAAAAGGTGTATAAACTTATCAATAAACCCTGTATAACATCTGCAAACATTTCGCGTGGTTCATGTTCTGGTTCCAGCCCAGTGTGTGAGCAAGAGCGCATTAAAGCTCTACAACCGCTGCTATGAGCTGGTAACTACGCCGATGACGTGGAATAACGCCCTGGTGAGTTCTTTTAGGAAATAAAAATAGGCTGAATTTTAATTTTTTTTTATAATTCCGATCTCATTGTCGCGTGATTAGCGTTACAGGATTTATTGCTCATTTCAGTGTTTAATCCGCTGTTATTTACGTGTTTTATACGATGTTATTTTTAGAACTATTGTAGAAATTTTGCTGCGGGAGGAACCCTGGCTAAAGTTTCAAATCCCTCGGAGTTGATATTCCTGCATGTTTTAATGGAAGGAATTTTAGATAACAGTAAGTGAAATATATATATATATATATATATATATATATATATATATATATATATATATATATATATATGTGTGTGTGTATATATATATATGTATATATATATTGTCTTTATATATAGGACCTATATATAGGTGTTATATATGCATACACATGTAAAAATGTTTATATATATATATATATATATATATATATATATATATATATATATATATATATATATATATATATATATATGTGTGTGTGTGTGTGTGTGTGTGTGTGTGAGGGTTAAATATATGTTTTATTCCGTCGAAGCACCATGATAATCAAAGAACTGAGATTTCTTTCTTTTATCCTAACGTAACCTGCACTTTCCAGTTTGGATCGGCGCAAATGACATCGAAACAGAAGGCTACTACGTATGGACTGACAAAACCGAGGCGCACTTTGGCAATCTCTGGAGCCCCGCCGACCCCGCGGGTACCACGGCAGAGAACTGTGTTGGGATAGGGAACACGGGCAAGCTGTTTGATGATAATTGTGAAAGTGCTCGAGCGTTTGCCTGTATGGAACTAGGTCAGTGCCTCTGCTTTACATGGTTTCTTTCAACTTTTTTTTTCTTCGTCCTTTGTTGGGAAGGGGCACTTTAAAATTCGCGGGGGGGGGGGGAGGGTTGGGATGTTGCACTCACAAGGCCGGGACTGGACATTGGTTAAATTATATACTTTCAATATATTTCTTCTATTTCTTCCCCACCCCCCCCCCTACCCCCCCCCCCCCCCCTGAAAAGAAACGTCTTTCTTGTTCATGAACTTAGTATGTTTGAAAATAAAGACCGTAGCTGGCAGATGAAATACAAATTTGTTTAGTTTGATTTAATTGGATAAATTCTGCTTAGAATTCATATATATATATATATATATAAATAAATATATATATATATATATATATATATATATATATATATATATATATATATATATATATATATATATATATATATATATATATGTATATGTATATATATATATATATATATATATATATATATATATATATACATATATATATATAATATATGTGTATATATGTGTGTGAGTGTGTGTCTGTGTGCGTTTATACGTGCGTGTTTGCTTGCAATGATGTTTTAAATGACTATCAATTCTTTTATTTTAGGTCAATCTGACCTGTATGGAGAAATCGCTTTCACGGCCGGACTGTCCTCCCCATTAAACCTACTACAAAACCAGATTGTGGTTTACAATGAAGTCCTCACAAACATAGGTGGCGCTTACAACAAACGGACCGGCGTTTTCAAAGCTCCTGTGGTATGTTGACTAGGAAAGGACGGACTGTTACTGTTACTAGTCTTACGAAGTAACAATTATGTAAAAACAAAACGTTTGCTAGATGTTGGCAATTATAATCGATCTTAATTGAATAGGGTCTACTTTGAATAGGCCCTACTTGCTAGAATGGCGTTTTTCCGACAACGTTTACCCTCTTTGGACATTTCCCAATGACCGGAAACCTACTCCCATTCAATTATTATCAGATCAAAAGTTTTGTCTGTTTAACAATTGAAAGAAAATAAACTGCATGGCACATTTCATGGCACCACTGAACAGAATATCGTCAGTTAAAAATTGAAGTACTTAATTGAAATCCATAGGTCTGGTTTAACGCAATGTTAATCATCTGTTCACCCAACGATTTAAGAGGTCTTGTAAACATCAACATTTCAGTATGCGATTAATCAAAAAACCGTTATTCTTGGAGCATCCAGGGAAGTTCTACTGTTTAGAAAACGGGAAAATAAAATATATCTAGATTTCGTGGCAGCATTCGTGTACTCAACACACTAAACCACTCTTTTTAGTCTATTATTTGTAAATGCGCGTGTAATCATTATCTACCTGTTTTAGGTTTTAAAATGAATTCTTTTCAAACCGCTTTTTGAAATATTATTCTGGCTTAAACACGTTTGTGTTTGTACAGCTAGCCTAGTCTGTTTCCATCATGTTTTCCTGTTTGTGTGTAAGACGCACGGGGAGTTAAAGTTGATTTCATATGTCTCAACGACCATGGCATACAGGGAATAGTGTGGTCCGCACTATGTCCAGGCGCCTTTGTCTTTCTAACGTGAGTCACGTACCCAGCAGAGCTGGGTGGATTTTCAAGTTAACAGTCGTGAGTTCTACAATCCGACCACGTCTTCTCCTATCCTAGTCTGTACCTGTTTGTTTTAATACTGGTAGCCTGGCCTGTACATATATTTTTATACTACTAGGCTGGCCTATACATATATTTTTGTACTGCTAGGCTGGCCTATACATATATTTTTATACTGCTAGGCTGGCCTATACATATATTTTTATACTGCTAGGCTGGCCTATACATATATTTTTATACTGCTAGGCTGGCCTATACATATATTTTTATACTGCTAGGCTGGCCTATACATATATTTTTATACTGCTAGGCTGGCCTATACATATATTTTTATACTGCTAGGCTGGCCTATACATATATTTTTATACTGCTAGGCTGGCCTATACATATATTTTTATACTGCTAGGCTGGCCAGTACATATATTTTTGTACTGCTAGGCTGGCCTGTACACATTTTTATACTGCTAGGCTGGCCTATACATATATTTTTATACTGCTAGGCTGGCCTGTACATGTTTCAAGTTCACGGTGCCGCCAGCAACAGCTCAACGTTGAAGCTAGCACTAGGCCAGAACGACACCATATCTGTCACAGCCTATAACAACATGGCGGGCCTTGGTATAAACGAGGCCAGTAAGTATCAACTGTTTTAAGTCTAATCGTGAGCATCACTAGAGTTGAGGCGGGGGGAGCTGTCCGCACCGGTAGACACTATATGGGATGACACCAAATCAAAAAAGACGAAAAATCTACTGTCAAAACAGTGTTTTATCCAGTTAAAATATAAAATAGTTGTAGGAAAGTGGGGCGACACCATCAGTTACTGCACTGGGTGACACTAGAGCTAGTAACGTCGTTTTAATCTGCTCATCATTTCAGGTTATTAAATTTTAATTACAACTAGACTTTTTAGCTAGAACTACAGTAGTTTTTCATTAAAAGTTTGAGATACAAACACTTATATTTACGCTTATTACAAGATAGTTGACATGGAGACATAGATGCTAACGAACTTATAATGGGGCACAATTACCCGCAAAGAACACAAATTTTTATATGAATAAAAGCAAGCCCCTAATCCTTGAATGTTTGTGCAGGTAACTATAAATGTCTATGCAGGTAATTCTGAATGTTTATGCAGGTAAATAAATGTTTATGCAGGTAACTCTGAATGTTTATGCAGGTAACTCTGAATGTTTATGCAGGTAACTCTGAATGTTTATGCAGGTGACTCTGAATGTTTATGCAGGTAAATGAATGTTTATGCAGGTAACTCGGAATGTTTATTCATGTAACTGGATGTTTATGCAGGTAACTCTGAATGTTTATGCATGTAACTGAATGTTTATGCAGGTAACTCTGAATGTTTATGCAGGTGACTCTGAATGTTTATGAAGGTAAATGAATGTTTATGCAGGTAACTCTGAATGTTTATACAGGTAACTCTGAATGTTTATGCAGGTAACTGAATGTTCATGCAGGTGACTCTGAATGTTTAGGCATGTAACTGAATGTTTATGCAGGTAACTCTGAATGTTTATGCAGGCAACTCTGAATGTTTATGCAGGTAACTCTGAATGTTTATGCAGGTAACTGAATGTTTATGCATGTAACTGAATGTTTATGCAGGTAACTCTGAATGTTTATGCAGGTAACTGAATGTTTATGCATGTAACTGAATGCTTATGCAGGTAACTCTGAATGGTTATGCTGGAAACTCTGAATGTTTATGCAGGTAACTCTGCCGTGCTGCAGCTAGAGAAAAACGACGAGGTGTACGTCTCAGCCGCCACAGCAACCAGTCTCTTGGGCGCCCGCACCGCCATCGTCAACACGTTCTCTGGTTTCCTCATTGAAGAGGAGAACTATTGATGTGCTATAGGATCATGCACAAATTACATTTGTTTTTACTAATTTACCCACGGCTTACTATATATAACCAGTGCTTCTTCACTTTTTTGTCCGGGGGAGAGGGGGGGGGGGGGGCTCTTTCGCCCCTCCGAAGAGATGCCTGAAAGAAACTCTGTATATGACGTTATACAACTTTTTCTTTGAGCACCGCCGGTCATATAAAACATTTCTAGTAAACCGCCTGCCTCCTCAACCACTCCCTTTAAAACAAACGAGAAGGAATACGTTACTACAAAATAAATTAGGGACATGACAATATATCGGTAAAATCAGTTCATTTATAACTGAAGGGTTTCTCTCTGACATTTTCTCCTGGGGGAGGGGGCATTTGAAGCAGACGCATAGCGGCCCCTCCCGGCGCCCGGGGACAAACTTTCAATTGGGCCCAAAGGGTCAGTGCCCGGGGACATATGTATCCACCCCTCCCCCCCCCCCTTCGCTACGCCTCTGATTTCAAGAGGTGACTGATATAAATCATGTAAAACGGGTGTAATTCTCTAAATTTAAAATAAAAATTATACCAGTTGTGTCAACTGAACAAAGCTTTACCTGCTTCGATCTGTGTTGATAGCCAATGCAATGTTCCTGATCAACATACAAACTGGTACAAACATTCATATAAAGATTCCTGAAGATGTTACCGATAATAGATCTACATTCTGTTGATATGTATAGCATACATAATCAGAAGATAAAGAACACATAGCAACTTACTCTCACTGTGTGATACTACACTCACTCACTCACACAGAGGAAAGCAGTAGAAAATCTTGCTTTCCAAGGTGCATTGTTCTAGTTGGTAAACTAATGGGTCTCCAAGAATGCCATTGAAACTTTTTGGATACATTATTTCACAAACTTTCAGAACTTAAAGTCCTCTAATATGACGTCATAAAGATATTATTCAACCCCCCCCCCCCCCATTAACAGTGAATAATTTTAACGAATATATAAACATTTGTGGGGTCGGCGTGGTCGAATCGGTAAAGCTCATGGTTGCTAAACCGAAAAAGTCTCGATTTCGAATCCTCGGGCAGATGAGGCTCGATAGCTGGGGACAGCCACTCTTCCAGGAGAAACGACTCCAAAATTAAACAACTGCTGCCTTGTAGTTTGTTCTTGGTTGGACAAAGGCTATGGAAGCAAATCCAAAAAGAAAAGCAGCCCGAAATCGGAGTCAATGGCCTCAATGGCGCAAAACCAGTTGACACGTAACGCTTAATTGTGTTGGAGGCGTGGTCGAGTCGGCAAAAAGCTCATGGTTGATAAATTCGAACAAAGTCACTGGCAGATAAATCTCGATCCCCTTGAACACTAACAATTAAGAACGAAGAAGAAGAAAGATAAACATTTGTCATACTTTTAGTCCGATAGACAGCAGCAGTGTTTTCCAGACTTTTTTTCTCCGGGGGGGGGGGGGGGGGGACTTGAAATTTTCGGGGGGGGGGGGGGCGGTAGACTTTCTTCGGGGAGGGGGGGGGGGGGCGCGGACACTGTTAAAAGTATATATTTTCTATATAAATTATATAAATCTCATTTCATTCGGGGGGGGGGGAGGGTAAATTTTTTTGGAAGAAACTCTGTACAGCAATTTAATATTTAGACAGGTATTGGTAAACTATAAAAAAAGCTCTAAAAATGTATTAGTGATGTATGGCCAATCCAACTGTGTTAAAGCAATGTGAAAATAAATTAATTAAAAAAACAGATTTTACTTATGGTTTTTATATTTTGTCTGTGTTTTGATGCAAAAAAATATTATGAAAAATTAACCCTGAAACAGAGGCGTAGCGACTCTTCCCGGTGCCCGTGGACAAACTTTCGATTTGCACCCCCCCCCCTCCAACTTTCGATTTTCACCCCCCATCAAACTTTCTATTTGCACCCCCCCCCCTCAAACTTTCGATTACTTTTTCCAACCCAGCCCCCCCCCCCCATCGCTACGCCTATGCCCTGAAACTCAATGTGTTTTCGTCACTATAGCTTTCCGTCCATTTAAGGGGAGACACCACCCCTAATTTTTGTTTTTTTTAAAATTATGTTCCAAGGCGTCTCATAAATTTTTATGTTAATATTATTTACTCTGTGTAGACAAAAATAGTATTAAATCTCGCGTAGAAATGCTTGTTGCTATAGAAACTACGTTTTTGTGTGAAAATTGGATCCGCTTTACGAATGTTTAGAGGAAAACTAAATTGTATCGAAAAAACAAAATGTAGCTGCCATCTTTAACGACAAAAGAAGGGTGAATGGGTCAACTTCGTCCCACAACATGCCCAAATATGCAGGGGTTGGGATGGAATCCGAATGAAAGAGAAAAGAGGTAGGTGTGTGTTGGGGGGGGGGGGGGGGTCAGGTCGGATATGATGGATTGACATGACCAGAGAAAAGGAAAAGATCTACGTATCAAGTTCGTTGGCCAAGATGCGTCTCGGTCTACTGCAATGTTACTTAACGTAATACGAAATTATGGGTAGTGTTACAGCTTATGCTGGGTTATTTTTTTTAGTCTTTAAGTGACGTTCCACACTTACAGTTTTTGAAATATTTATTACTGTAAGATTTCTATCGTAAATTTCTTCTTTGCTGTTTTCAACTCTCGTGAATGTATGAACCATTTCCATGCTTATCTGCCATAAGATGTTTTTCCATTTGTTTCCAATACTTTCCATATTTAAGTTCCCTACACCAGGTAATATTGAGTCAACTGGTGTTTCCTATTCCTGGTAGACTTCAAAATATGCCTCGTACAAGTATTTATGATGCATAGAAAAAATGAGCCGGAAGATGCTGACAACTAACTCATACTTCAGCTAATCTAAACTCTAAAAATGTCCACTGATCGTACTTTCACTATGTCGTGTTACATGTTTATTTAACGAAGTTGATCACATTCTTAAAGACTAATCACAGCTGATTATAAAATAACGAATGGGATTCGTCAGGTAGTGATAGTAAAAGCAACTGTTTTATAGAAACACCATCACTCTTAGCTGTTTATTTATTTATTTTTTAATGTTCTGTTTTTTTTAATGTTCTTTTTCTTTTCTATTTGGGCTATGTATTAATTGATTTCCAAAAGTTTTCTTAAATTTTTAAACTGGATGAAAACACTATATAACCTATATAATTTATCTTATATATAAATATGCATAGACGCACCTAAAACAGTTTCTTAGTATAAACGATCAAAAAAGACAACGCCGTATTAAGTCATTATGTCGACTAAGCAATCAAAAAGCCTGAGAACGTGTTGAGGATCTGACCGCCAGCACCGTACAGACTCCCACAGCTGGTGGCTTGTACAGAAATCTCGTCACCTTTTTCTAACATCAACACGGCTGAATTGCCTGGAACAAATTTATATATATATATATATATGTAGACATGTATATATATATATATATATATATATATATATATATATATATATATATATATATATATATATATATATATATATATATAACTAGATGTAGATGTACAGTTACATGCACATTTCACATGTACATGTTAAAAGTGGTGCTATGGTTTAGTTTTTTATCTTAAATATTTTGTTTTAAAACTACGATTCCCATATAGATTAATATATTTCAATAATGAATGCACTGTTACAAATAGTAGAAGTAATAAGGCAGTCTATACCAGCAGCTGAATGGTGCTGATTGGCATTGGCTTCAACTGAGACAACTGGGATTTTATTCTTCATGAGAGACAGCCTGAGTTCTTTTTCATTGCTTGCAACTCCATTGATTTCAAAGAAATATGAACCCGCCTGTTGATATAACAATAAAAATAATTGCCCATGTTTATGGATTTGACTTAAACGAAGTATATAAGCTGGTAAATTATACTATAGTTATGCATACCTTCGGACATTTAAATACGCCAGTGCTTGAGTTGTAAGCGTTGCCCGTGTTAGTTATAACGTCAGTATAAATAACAGTGTCTTTGGCGACAGCGTCCAGTGGTTTTGATAGCCCTACCGTAAATGCTACAGCGGCCACTTCAGGAGTCTTCTTTGCTGTGTTTTAAGAAGAAAAATATTCTTAAGAACTAATAAACCATTTAATGTTTTAAAATTAAAACAGTTTTTTTTCAATCAATCCGTTAAACTGATACATGCAAACAAAAATATTTTTTTTTAAAATTGTTGGCCCCTTCAATAAGGTATTATTAAATTAGCCTCGACAAAAAGGCTTTAGGTAAAACGTCTACTCGAAAAAATGTGCTTGGGACTATACATGTTTGTACAAAATTTTCGTTGACAAACTGCACACCAACATTAAGACTGTCAACAAAAAGACTCACGACGGACATACATAATTTATTTTCTGTTTATTTACGTTTCATTGCGAATCACATTCAGAGATGCCTTATTGTCAGAAACCTTTACGTAGGGAAATTGAAATAAAGCGCTCTCGTGGCAACCATTTGGACGTGGTCTTTTTGTCGTTTAGACCCGGTACATTAGTTGGGTGCATACTGATTCCTCTCGATTTTGTATATATGTTTCATAAATGTGGGTTTCAAATACAATAACACACAACTTTTTTTTTTCAGAATTTTATGCTTCTGCTGATGAAAACAAAATATATTTTAAGAACGCTTCTTTTTTTCTCTCAATAAAGCGACACAATGCTATCAGCGCTCAAGCCTATATCAGATTGACCTAATAGACTATTTTAAGAAGGAGATTAATTTTCTGCTATCACCAATAGCCTGCTTACCCTAAACTCGACCAAACTGTTAATTAATCTTAAACCTGACCTTATTAACAGTTAAACTGATTTTTTTAAACTGATTTTTTTACTTAATTACCCTATCAACGTTTGAACAAGAAGAAAAACAAACCAATCTACTCACCCTTTTCCATACAAATAAACGCCTGTAAATAGTCACAGGACTCGTCGTTTAACCCGCTCCCTGTGTTTAATTCAACACAATCTTCATTTTTACCAGCGAAACTGTTCGGTTCACCACTATTCCACAAAGAAGTCAGATTAGCCGGAGTATTATCGTCCCACACCCACGAGCCTTCAACGTCAATGTCGTTTGCTCCAATCCATTCTTGAAATAAAAGCTTTAAATGTGAGACCATCTAGAACGCAAAATAAGATAGGGTCTGCGTTGCGTTTGGTTTAGGCTAGTTTTCTTCTTACTATCAAGTGTCCAACGTACCACGCCTCAACCAGGTCCGAACACCCCCCCCCCCCCCACGGTTTTTTTAATTTTTAATTCATTTTCATAAAGATAGTAATTATTGGGATTTCCTAAGCAAAATCTCTTCCCCCCTTCCCTCCCCAATTTTTAATGTTAATTTAGGACTAGTAAAATATAAATATTAGAAAGAGAGTAAGGTTTACTTACTGTTGCCATATCCATGCATTTGATTACTTAAGAAAAGCATTTCAGAGGTAGTCAAAACTTTTGCCAGAGACCTGCCTGCAGTAAAGTTGGCGCAAAATTTCTAAGTTTAAAAGTGACAAAAAAAAATAAATGAAACAAAACTAAATCAGCTCTTTGAATGCGATTAAAATTTAGGGAGTTGACAAAATAAGCCAGGCATTCATATGAAGACCACAGTGGCTGAACTACAGTTGTAGGACTTTTTCACTTTCGAGAAAAACAAAATTTAGAGTTTGCTGACTCTGGTAGCCTCACATGTGTTATATTTTTAATTAAAATTAGTTTTTTATGAAATTTATATAGAAAATATATACTTTTGACAGTGTCCGCCCCCCGGAAATTGTTGTCCACCCCCTAAGAGGCGTAGCGACCCTTCCCGGTGTCCGGGAACAATCATTTCGATTTGCACCCTCCCCCCCTCTCAAGATTTCGATTTGCACCCCCCCCCCCCCGCTCAAACTTTCAATTTCCACTTTCCACCCCCCTCAACCTTTCAATTTATTTTTCCAACCCATTTTGGCGCCCCCTGAGGTCGGCGCCCGGGGACATATATCCCTCCCCCCTTGCTACGATAATGCCCCCCACCCCGGAATATTTCAAGTGCACCCCCGGAGAAAAAGTCTGGAAGAAACACTGATGTATAGGCATAGGCTACTGTAGTCATGAGAACATGTTAATTTAAAAAAAAAAACCAAGAGTTTAGTCTGTTTTATATATCTTGGACTTAGCTGTGCGAAACAAAAGGATGTTATTTTCAAAAGTGATAAATTAAATATTATTTGACGCGTACCTTCGCATCCTGCCATGTCTTTGGCGTATTGACTATCTCGTAGCATTTATTCTCAAACATCAAAGCTGTACTGCTGATACACTGAGCTGAAATGGCAATATTAGTAATAAGGGTATACGTATTCATAAAGTCTAGATGTTTTAAACTTGAATATCATAAACAAAGTTCGAACCCCGATATCTATCCGATAGATTTATATAGAAACAAGAGGCATAAAGGTCAGGCATCAACATGATGAAACGAACATTTCTCGAGCAAATTTGATCCTATAACATCTCGTCAACTTGTTTGTATTTGAGGTGCCATTTTGATCTAGGTACAACCTGCGGCCCTCATACCAGATACTTAATTTGGCACTTTCGGTTTAGCAAGTATATGCTCTCCGAACATATTCTGAATCTAATATCTATATATATAATAAACCGGGAGTGATCTCCCCTAAACTTTCTCGAATATTCTTATATAAAACAACAGAGGATGCTAACTCGGGATATAGACATGATTTTTAATCCATTTTAAATGCTTAAACTTTTTGAAATAGAATAAAATCTCGTAGAAAAAAGAATTGCACACCAAAAATACGCCAAATAAAATGTGCATAATAGTGCGGAATATTATTAGTACTTTATAAATTTACATTAGTTTTTTGAGAAATCGGAAGTAGCGTAAATTACTACTTCTGGTCAACGGAAATTGCTCAAAATTTTATAGAAGGTAGAGAATTAGATCTTTTACTTACATGTGAAATTTCATTTGTCTATGTGAAATAGTACTCAAGTTATAGGCTTTTGAAAAATTCAAAGTAGAAAAAGTACCACTTCCGGTTATCGGAAAGTTGATACGGATCTACGATTTTAATATAATACTTATATGTATGAAATTTCTTCAAAGCTATAACGGTACTCAAGTTATCGTGTTTACACACACACACACACACACACACACACACACACAGACAGACAGACACACATACACACAGACATACGGACAAGATTGCAAACAGGGAGCCCGTAAAAGTCGAGATTTGCAAAAATCTCGTTTTTTTTTTTTTTGCACAATTACAAGACTTTCTCTATACTTCGTATATACGAGAAAGTAAAAAGCAATGTATATGTGTGTTGTCTGTGTGTCTGCTTGTTTGTCTTTTATGCATTACTACACCTCTCATCACACTGCTGTGAAACTTGGGGAAGTTATTGAGAAAATTTCTGGGGAGGTGCCTGCGGAATTTTTTTTTTCAAATTCGCAGGGGTGGCGCCCTGGCAGGGCGCGAATTGTTTTTTTTCACTATATACAGTCTATAAAAATAAACGTTGATTTTGGTTTGGCACCATTCATCCGATCGCCATCAAACTTTGAAGAGTTCATTAGAACACTCTGGGAAAGGGTTCTGTAAAATAATCATTTATAGTTTCGCAAGGGCGGCGCCACGGGAAGGTGTGATTTTTCTCTATATACGGTATTAAAAAAACACGTGAATTCCAGTGACAACGTTCACACGATCGCCATGAAACTTTGGGAACAAGTTGTGAATACTCCTGGGGAAGTTTCTGCGCAAAAAATATTTTCAAATTCGCAGGGGTGGTGCCCCGGCAGGGCGCGATTTTTTTTCTTTATAACGGTATATAAAAATAAAAGCCAATTGGGGTTTGACATCGCTCATTTGATTTTTATGAAACTTTGGGGAGTTAATTAGAACACTCCAGGGAAGGGTTCTGTAAAATAATCATTTATAATTTCGCAAGGGCGGCGCCACGGGAGGGTGCGATTTTTCTCTATATACGGTATAAAAAAATAAACGTGAAATGCATGGGCGGCCCCCGGCAGGATGCGATTTGGCGCCCTGGTCTTTCCCGTGAGCGCTATGGCGACTACGTTTGGTCTAAACAGTGTGATAGACAATGGTTAGGATGGGGTGTTACAAACGCTTAATAAATTGAATCAGGCATGTCCGCCGGCGCCGTGGTAGGGTGCGATTAGGCTGCAAATAAAAATGTCTGTTGCTGCCCCCAAAGGCTAACATGGGCCGCTGAGGGCCTTGTAATACGTTTTATTTTAATAATCAGAAAAATTAACCAAGGTTAGATTATTAACTGGGTTGTTTCCTGTTATCCGTAAAAAAGTCCAAACAGTTTCGCAATCAGAAATTCAGATCGAGCATCTAATAATAGACCATTAGTAATGCTAATATATTGCATCAGTCAAACTGATGTTTAAAACACGTCAAATAATTTTTAATGAAAAAATTCTGATAATTTGTTTCACTTTAGGGGTCGGCGTGTTCGAGTCGGTAAAGCTCATGGTTGCTAAACCGAAAAGTCACGAGTTCGAACCCTCGGGCAGATGAGGCTCGTTAGCTGGGGACAGCCACTCTTCTAGGAGAGACAACTCCAAAATTAAACAACTGCTGCCTTGTAGTTTGTTCTTGGTTGGACAAAGGCTATGGAAGCAAATCCAAAAAGAAAAGCAGGCTGAAATCGGAGTCAATGGCCTCAATGGCGCATAACCAGTTGACACGTAACGCTTAATTGTGTTGGAGGTGTGGTCGAGTCGGCAAAAATAAATTCGAACAAAGTTCAAACCCACTGGCAGATAAATCTCGATCACCTTCAACACTAATAATTAAGAACGAAGAAGAAGAAGAAGAGTTTCACTTTAGCGAATGACGAAATCTGCATCATTGTTAACAGAATACTATTTGGCTCACTGGGTTATCCAAGAGCCCGATGGCGCCTGTTAGTTTTAAGGAGCCAGGGGCCGTATGCTGCGCCTCTGCGGTAGTGTAATCGGCAGGGAGGGGGGTCTCCTGAGAGCTGTCACCGAAGTGTGTTCTACCTCATTATTTCGGTGAGTGATTAATGAACACTCAAGGTTTTCATGCGGTAGTGTAAGTAAACCCGTGTCCTGATATTTATGATCCAAGCGCAGGCATTGTTTATATTTAAATAAACTCACTTTTAGAAAACAAGGTCACGCATTTAAGAATAAAGGATTGGTAACGCATGGATGAAACCCATCCTATAAATTTCGTCGGACTTTCTTCTTTTCAAGCGGCAACGCGCGGGGACGGGTACGCTAGTACAAAAATAAAATAAAAAGTTCTCGTACATGCGAAATGTAGAAAAGAAGAAGCCTCTATTGTATAATGTACCTGACATTGTTCCAAACCAGCTTAAAAGTAGGCACCAAAATAGTCCCGACATTTATGACTGTTTTTTTCGCTCCTCTAAGCTTACTTGGATAGAGTCGCATACGTTAATGCGAATATGAAGATATATATATATATATATATATATATATATATATATATATATATAATATATCAATTAGAAAAAAATGTTTTTAATAACAATAACGCTAATGACAGTTCACACTTATAAATGGTTGCAATAAGAAATCAATTAACAGTGGTTTACTTAAGGTAAATAGCGTTTCAGGCATAACCTCGGCGGGGGAGGGGGAGAGATAATGGTGCGGGGGGTGGGGGCGTGCCTAGAAAATATAATTTAAAAAAAAAATCGAAAACATACGTTATACGAGTATCAGCCCCCCAACTGAGAAACTTAAAGTGCATCCTTACCCTATGAAAGTTTTAATGGCGCCGGCAATCCTGTCGCTTGGATAAAAATATCTGAAAGTTCTTAACACAACTTTTTTTATATACGTGTTAATATACATGTTCCTTTAGAATAAACTTATTGCGAGTTTTATATTTTTATTTCTAGACGTTTATGGTATACGTTTCGCAAGTTTAAACGCGGTGTCTACTTCTTCTTCGTTCTTAATTTTTAGTGTTGGGAGGGATCGAGCCTTATCTGCCAGAGGGTTTGAACTCGAGACTTTTTTCGAATGAGCTTTCGCCGACTCGACCATGCTTCCATCACAATTAAGGATTACGTGTCAACTGGTTATGCGCCATTGAGGCCATTGACTCCGATTTCAGCCTGCTTTTCTGTTTGGATTTGCTTCCATAGCCTTTGTCCAACTAAGAACAAACTACAAGGCAGCAGTTGTTTGATTTTGGAGTTGTCTCTCCTAGAAGAGTGGCTGTCTCCAGCTAACGAGCCTTATCTGCCCGAGGGTTCGAACTCGAGACTTTTCGGTTTAGCAACCATGAGCTTTACCGACTCGACCACGCCGACCCCTAAACGCGGTGTTAAAGAATAGTTTTAGGGGCAGAGACAGTAAAAATAAAACTCAGTGATAAAATCCATAAAAAGTAGATTACAATACAATCAATAAAGTCAACAGCAATTCAGTTACACGTGTTTCTTTTTGTAATTACAAAGCTCCGTTGTATAGGCTAGTGTTAAAAGTCATTTGTTTTTTTGTGCTCTAGACAACTTCGCTGTTTCCATTTCTACACAGGCATTGCAGTTTGTCCGTTTGACAAACTATGTTGTTGTCATAGTAGTATGTTGTTGGATGTGGTCAGCTCTGTAGTGTTTTCACGTACAAAACGTGCGGACCGCATCGGGTGGACACCATTTAGGGGGGTGACACCAAGGCAAAAAATAGCAAAATATATAGAGAAAAATTTGAGGGAGGGTGAAAATCGAAAGTTTGAGGGGGGGGGGGGGGGGGGGGGGCGCCATCGAAAGTTTGGGGGGTGCAAATCGCAAATTCGAAAGTTTGTCCCCGGGAATGGTCGCTACGCCTCTGTGGGGTGACACCATTAAGTGCCGTAATTTAAGCAAAGGGTTTAAACAACACTCCATTCAAACAAAATCGATGTGTTGATTATATATTTTTTAAACGTTAAGTCATGTCATTCTTGAACACTTGCTTTTTTTCTCGAGCAGAGTTTCTTCCAGGCATCTCTTCGGGGGGCAGAGCCCGCCCCCCCCCCCTCCTCAAAGAAAGTCTACCGCCGCCCCCCCCCCCCCCCCCCCACCCCCGAACGAAATGAAATTTATATAGAAAATATATACTTTTAACAGTGTCCGCCCCCCCTCCGACCGAAGACATTCTACCGTCCCCCACCCCCCGAACATTTTAAGTGCCCCCCGGAGAAAAAGTCTGGAAGAAACACTGAAGCCGAGCATCTATACACATATTTTTTTTCTGCTATAAATGTATTAGGTTTTTATACTGCTAGGCTTGCCTATAAATGTATTAGGTTTTTATACTGCTAGGCTGGCCTGTACATGTTCCAAGTTCACGGTGCCAAGTTCACGGTGCCGCCAGCAGCAGCTCAACGTTGAAGCTAGCACTAGGCCAGAACGACACCATATCTGTCACAGCCTATAACAACATGGCGGGCCTTGGTATAAACGTTGCTAGTAAGTAGCAACTGTTTTAAGTCTAATCGTGAGCATCACTAGATGTGAGGTGGGGTAAGCTGTCCGCACTGGTAGACACTATATGGGATGACACCAAATCAAAAAAGACGAAAAATCTACTGTCAAAACAGTGTTTTATCCAGTTAAAATATAAAATAGTTGTAGGAAAGTGGGGCGGACACCATCAGTTACTGCACTGGGTGACACTAGAGCTAGTAACGTCGTTTTAATCTGCTCATCATTTCAGGTTATTACATTTTAATTACAACTAGACTTTTTAGCTAGAACTACAGTAGTTTTTCATTAAAAGTTTGAGATACAAACACTTATATTTACGCTTATTACAAGATAGTTGACATGGAGACATAGATGCTAACGATCTTATAATGTGGCACAATTACCCGCAAAGAACACAAATTTTTATATGAATAAAAGCAAGCCCCTAATCCTTGAATGTTTGTGCAGGTAACTATAAATGTCTATGCAGGTAATTCTGAATGTTTATGCAGGTAAATGAATGTTTATGCAGGTAACTCTGAATGTTTATGCAGGTAACTCTGAATGTTTATGCAGGTAACTCTGAATGTTTATGCAGGTAACTCTGAATGTTTATGCAGGTGACTCTGAATGTTTATGCAGGTAAATGAATGTTTATGCAGGTAACTCGGAATGTTTAGTCATGTAACTGGATGTTTATGCAGGTAACTCTGAATGTTTATGCAGGTGACTCTGAATGTTTATGCAGGTAAATAAATGTTTATGCAGGTAACTCGCAATGTTTAGTCATGTAACTGGATGTTTATGCAGGTAACTCTGAATGTTTAGTCATGTAACTGGATGTTTATGCAGGTAATCCTGAATGTTTATGCAGGTAACTCTGAATGTTTATGCAGGTAACTGAATGTTCATGCAGGTGACTCTGAATGTTTAGGCATGTATCTGAATGTTAATGCAGGTAACTCTGAATGTTTATGCAGGTAACTCTGAATGTTTATGCTGGTAACTCTGAATGTTTATGCAGGTAACTGAATGTTTATGCATGTAACTGAATGTTTATGCAGGTAACTCTGAATGTTTATGCAGGTAACTGAATGTTTATGCATGTAACTGAATGTTTATGCAGGTAACTCTGAATGGTTATGCTGGAAACTCTGAATGTTTATGCAGGTAACTCTGCCGTGCTGCAGCTAGAGAAAAACGACGAGGTGTACGTCTCAGCCGCCACAGCAACCAGTCTCTTGGGCGCCCGCACCGCCATCGTCAACACGTTCTCTGGTTTCCTCATTGAAGAGGAGAACTATTGATGTGCTATAGGATCATGCACAAATTACATTTGTTTTTACTAATTTACCCACAGCTTACTATATATAACCAGTGCTTCTTCACTTTTTTGTCCGGGGGGGGGGGGGGGGGGGGGAGGGGGGGGGGGGCTCTTTCGCCCCTCCGAAGAGATGCCTGAAAGAAACTCTGTATATAACGTTATACAACTTTTTCTTTGAGCACCGCCGGTCATATAAAACATTTCTAGTATACTGCCTGCCTCCTCAACCACTCCCTTTAAAACAAACGAGAAGGAATACGTTACTACAAAATAAATTAGGGACATGACAATATATCGGTGAAATCAGTTCATTTATAACTGAAGGGTTTCTCTCTGACATTTTCTCCTTGGGGAGGGGGCATTTGAAGCAGACGCATAGCGGCCCCTCCCGGCGCACGGAGACAAACTTTCAATTTGGCCCAAAGGGTCAGTGCCCGGGGACATATGTATCCACCCCTCCCCCCCCCCCTTCGCTACGCCTCTGATTTCAAGAGGTGACTGATATAAATCATGTAAAACGGGTGTAATTCTCTAAATTTAAAATAAAAATTATACCAGTTGTGTCAACTGAACAAAGCTTTACCTGCTTCGATCTGTGTTGATAGCCAATGCAATGTTCCTGATCAACATACAAACTGGTACAAACATTCATATAAAGATTCCTGAAGATGTTACCGATAATAGATCTACATTCTGTTGATATGTATAGCATACATAATCAGAAGATAAAGAACACATAGCAACTTACTCTCACTGTGTGATACTACACTCACTCACTCACACAGAGGAAAGCAGTAGAAAATCTTGCTTCCCAAGGTGCATTGTTCTAGTTGGTAAACTAATGGGTCTCCAAGAATGCCATTGAAACTTTTTGGATACGTTATTTCACAAAGTTTCTGAACCTAAGGTCCTCTAATATGACGTCATAAAGATATGTATTAACCCCCCCCCCCTCCATTCCCCCGGTCAATAACAGACAATAATTTTAATGAATATATAAACATTTGTCATACTTTTAGTCCGATATACAGCAGTTTAATATTTGGACAGGCAGTGGTAAACTATAAGAAAGCTCCAAAAATGTATCAGTGATGTACCGCTAATCCAACTGTGTTAAAGCAATGTGAAAATAAATTAATTAAAAATACAGATTTTACTTATGGTTTTATATTTTGTCTGTGTTCTGATGCAAAAAAAAAATATTATGAAAAATTAACCCTGAAACAGAGGCGTAGCGACCCTTCCCGGCACCCGGGGACAAACTTTCGATTTGCACCCCCCCCCCCCAAACTTTCGATTACTTTTTCCAACCCATTTTGGCGCTCCCTAAGGTCGGCGCCCGGGGACATATGTCCCCCCCTGCCCCCCCCCCCCCCATCGCTACGCCTCTGCCCTGAAACTCAAGGTGTTGTTGTCACTATAGATTTCCGTCCAGTTAAGGGGAGACACCACCCCTAATTTTTGTTTTTAAAATTATGTTTTAAGGCGTCTAATAAATTTATATGTTAATATTATTTACCCTGTGTAGACAAAAATAGTATTAAATGTCGCGTAGAAATGCTTGCTGCTATAGAAACTACGATTTTGTGTGAAAATTGGATCCGCTTTACGAATGTTTAGAGGAAAACTAAATTGTATCGAAAAACAAAATGTAGCTGCCATCTTTAACGACAAGAAGGGTGAATGGGGCAATTTAGTACCACAAAAAGCCTTAGTAGGCAGTAGTTGTGGTGGAATCCGAAGGGTAGAGAAAAGAGGTAGGTGTGTGTTGGGGGTGGAGGGGTCAGGTCGGATATGATGGATTGACATGACCAGAGAAAAGGAAAAGATTTACGTAACAAGTTCGTTGGCCAAGATGCGTCTCGGTCCGCTCCAATGTTACTTAACGTAATACGAAATTATGGGGAGTGTTACTGTTTATGCTGGGTTATTTTTTTTTTTAGTCTTTAAGTGACGTTCCACACTTACAGTTTTTTAAATATTAATTACAGTAAGATTTCTTTCGTAAATTTCTTCTTTGCTGTTTTCAACTCTCGTGAATGTATGAACCATTTCCATGCTTTTCTGTGATAAGATGTTTTCCATTTGTTTCCAATAATTTCCATGTTTGTTTGAGGTCTCCACACCAGGTGATATTGAGTCCACCGGTGTTTCCTATTCCTTCATGATATGCCTCGTACAAGTATTTATAATGTATAGAAAAAAATGAGCCTAAAGAAGCTGACATCTAACCCATACTTCAGGTAATCTAAACTCTTAAAATTCCCACTGATCATACTTTCACTATGTCGTATTAGATGTTTATTTAACTTAGTTGATTACATTCAGACAAAAGATAGCTGATTATAAAATAATGAATGGGATTCGTCAGATAGTGATGGTAAAGGCAACTGTTTAATAGAAACACCATCATTCTTAACTGTTTGTTTTTTAATGTTGTTTTTACTTTCTCGTATATATGAAGTATAGAGAAAGTCTTGTAATCATTAAAAATAAATCGAGATTTTTACAAATCTCGACGTTTTACACCTCACTGTTACGGAAAAACATAATTTTGCAATCTTGTCCGTATGTTTGTGTGTCAGTCTCTGTGTGTAAACACGATAACTATAAACCGTTACAGCTAGGTTGATGAAATTTCATATATAAGTATTTTATCAAAATCGTAGTTTCGTATCAACTGTTGAGCGATTTCCGATAACCGGAAGTGGTACTTGTTTTCACTTTGAATTTTTCAAAAGCCTATAACTTGAGTACTATTTCAGATAGATAAATGAAATTTCACATGTAAGTAAAAGATCTAATTCTCTGCCGTCTGTCAAATTTTGAGTAATTTCCGTTGAACGGAAGTACTAATTTACGCTATTTCCGATTTCTCAAAAAACGCTTGTAAATTTATAAAGTACTAATCATATTCCGCACTATTATGCACATTTTGTTTTGGCGTTCGCTTGGTGCGCAATTCTTTTTTCTATGAGATTCTATTCTATTTTAAACAGTTCAAGTATTTAAAATGGATTAAAAATCATAACTATATCCCGAGCTCCCATCCCCTGTCGTTTATATAAGAATATTCGAGAAAATTTAGGGGAGATCTTTCCCGGTTTATTTTTAATGTTCTGATTTTTTTTTTTTTGGCTCTGATTTAATTGATTTCCAAAAGTTTTCTTAAATTTTTACACTGGTTGGAAGCACTTTTTAAATATATATTTTTATATATGTATATATATATATATATATATATATATATATATATATATATATATATATATATATATATATATATATATATATATATATATATATATATATAACCTATATGATATATGTGCAAAGCCGCTCCGAAAATAGTTTCATAAGTATGAAAAGACCCCAGACAACACCGTATTAAGTTTTTATGTCGACTAAGCAATCAAAAAGCCAGAGAACGTGTTGAGGATCTGACCGCCAGCACCGTATAGACTCCCGCAGCTTGTGGCTTGTACGGAAATCTCGTCACCTTTCTCTAACATCAACACGGCCGAGTTGCCTAGAAAAAGTTGGATAAATAAAAAAATACATGAGTGAGCGGATTGTTGGTTGGGTTGGTGGGTTTCAGTCAGTGTTTCTTCCAGACTTTTTTCTCCGAGGGGGGGGGGGGGGCACTTGAAATTTTCAAGGGGGGGGGGGGCGGTAGACTTTCTTGGGGGGGGGGAGGCAGACACTGTTAAAAGTATATATTTTCTATATAAATTATATACATTTCATTTCGTTCGGGGGGAAGGTAAAAACTTTTCGGCCCCCCCCCCCCCCGAAGAGATGCCTGAAAGAAACTCTGGTTTCAGTCAGTTAGTCAGTCAATAAATAAATAAATATATACATACGAACATACATACATACACACACACATATATATATATATATATGTATATATATCTATATCTATATATATATATATATATATATATATATATATATATATATATATATATATATATATATATATATATATATATATATATGTGAGGGGAGGTGGGTGGGTGTTGATGTCTGTGGGTGTGGTCGAAACAAATGAATAAATTACAACTCTTTGCTGATGAAATCTGTCAATTATTAAATATATTTTAATTGTAAAATATGTTTTAATAACTGTAGTCTAGAAGTTGAGAAAAGGCAGTGTTTACCAGCAGCAGATTGTTCCTGGAGAGACTTGGCTTGTACAGATACAATTCTGATTTTATTCTTAGTAAGAGAGATACCTATTTCCATCCCCTTGCTAGCGACGCCGTGAATTTGAAAGCTATATACACCAGCCTGTTTACAGTAAATTAAAAAAAAAATGTTTGAACAAGCGTGACGTAGGTAAAACATCTAATTATTAATCTAATTAAATAAGTCATAAAATGTAATTATAATAATACCAAATACATTAATTACGAGGAGATAACAAGATTAAATACTATCGATCTATCAGTTGAACGTCGATAATAAATTGTTTTCTTCACAACTAAGTGATGCTGTTTTTTTTTACTGAGCGTCGACCATGGACTAAGAAGGCGAAGATAATATCCTATAGAAATAACAAGCTATTGGTCGAGGTTTAACGCGAATATTTTAGGAGATCTCTTGAGCGGCAAGAGAAAGCAAATTAATTAATTTATTTTCAGATCATTTAAAAGCTAATTGTGATAAAGGATTTTATATTTTACTTATTAGTGTAAAGAAATTCGCATGACTGTAAAATTTTACTCGCTAATTTGATACCAACGTGTGCAAAAGCACATCATTAATAGTAATTTATACGGCAACATTAAGCATCTATACATTTCATAGTAATTTCACATACATTGTTGTTGGATCTTGACATACGTGTCAAATTTGACACAAATCTCTTCTTTAGAATTGAATTTGATTTCTTTTTCTAGATTCCGCCCAGACAAGGCGGACGGCAGAGGCAGGGGCGTAGCGAGGGGGGGGGGGGTGCGGACCGCACCGGGTGACACCATTTACGGGGGTGACACCAAGGCAAAAAATAGCAAAATATATAGAGAAAAACTTGAGGGGGGGGGGGGGTGCAAATCGAAAATTTGAGAGGGTGGGGGGGTGCAAATCGAAAACTTGAAAGTTTGTCCCCTGGAAGGTTTGCTACGTCTCTGTGGGGGTGACACCATTAAGTGCCGCACCGGGTGACACCCGACCTCGCTACGCCACTGGGCAGGGGTATCAAGTTAAAGGAAAACTAGTACTAGTAAGCCCCATAAACATAGACCATATTATCTAACCTTTGGACATTTAAAAACACCCGTGGTATTTCTGTAAGCGTTGCCGATGTTAGTTATAACTTCAGTGTAAATAATTGTGTCTTTGGCGACGGCGTCTGTTGATTTCAGTAGCCCTGCCGTAAATGCCACAGTGGTTGGTGTTGGTGACTGTTTTTCTGTGCATGGGATAAAATAGGTTTAAAAGTCCTTTTACTTTAAAAGTCAAAACTTAAGATTTTAAAAAAATCTTCGTTGTATCTTGTACGACGACAGTTGTTTACTTTTAAAAATTAATCTGCTGAAAGATATCATCTAATTGTTGTTATGTTTATTATTGTAATGGTATTCACTAATTTAAGGGGAAACAAACCATCATCATTTTTTCCAGTGTATGATTACTTAACCACCACCCCTGGATTCGGTCAAGTATGCAGCCTGCGTGATTTGCAATGCGTTTTTTTTGTTTTTATATATTATTCTTAATAACCGAGTAAAAAACTAAATTCACAGCCCCAAAACTACTATCGAAAAAGAAACCTATCCTCATAGGAAGATGGAACGTCAGAACACTATGGGAAGCAGGGTGCTTGGCCTGTGCGAAACAAGACGGACAACATGTGGAGAGACAAATCCTATAAAATAATTTCATTAGCTTGTTTTTTATTTTCTAATTCAGCTGCCATCATCCAATATTCGTAGGTCTGTAGACATGTAGCTATAACTATTAAATGCATCAGTCTGATTATTGTGTATATTTGATGGTTAAAATTCTTATTTTTGCATATCGCCCTTACCCTTGCACGCTAATCATATAGGTTTTTGTGTTGCTTTTATTTGATTAAGATTGATATTGTATTACGTCTTGGTGTTTAAAGTGCACCATGCCAAACTTTATCGTATTCCTTCTTGGATTCCACAGATATATGGAGGAGCGGATTTAGACTTGATAAGGCTCTAATATAATCTTCAATGTGGGGCTCTTATAAATCCATATATTATATGTCAGTGCCAAATATTTGCAGTTTTTTAAAGAAAGTTCGTCGACAAAAAAAAGGTATTTATAATTGTAGTGGAATAAAAACTCGGGCTCCACCACGTTTGAAAAAAAGGAAAGAAAAGTATAAATCAGTGTTTAAAAAATTAATATGATGTAAAATGCCCACTGCGGTTTATAAAAATAATTTTGGAGGCCTCAAAGACAGCAGGAGCTCAAAGCTATAGCTTGTTCAGATTATACGTAAATCCCGCTCTGGACACATGGTAGATGTGTTGCTTGTGCGATACCACAAACTCAGCTATCGATACAATATTATAATGGCGGTACGGGCTTTTATATTTTATTCATTAGAAGCAATATGTCTGTGCTTGATATAAAATACGTACCTTCTTCCATGCAGATGAAGGGTTTCAAATCATCGCAAGGCGCATCGTTTATCAATCCATTTACGAACAATTCAGCACAGTCTTCATTGCCGTTTAAGTTGTTTGGTTCGTTGCCGTACCACAGAGTCGTTAGATTAACAGCCGTTTTATCCAACCACACCCAGCTACCTTCAGCATCAATATCGTTTGCTCCGATCCACACTTTAATACAAAATGAATTTATTTAACTACCAAATAACAATTTGAAAATGTATAGAAAATTACTAATTTAATGACCAATGCTTTTAATAGTATTTCTAAAGAAGATTTTATCATAATTTTCTTATTCTTAATGTGCATTTTTAAAACAACTGTTATTACAGAAGGTTTCTATAAATATGATTTGCCCCCATACTTTTTAATTATTTTTTTTAGGAATAGAAACAACATAGAAGTTATTCAATATTTTAGTTTAAAATAAATAAACATGAACGATATTTTTATTCTTTCTTATTACATGTTATGAGATTGTGTCGACATGCCTTCCATTAATAAAATCGTACTAAAAACAACTAAACTATTGGTAATTTTATTTAGGAAACTTCCTCAACGCTTTTACAATAAACTTAAGATAGTAAGATAGTAAGGACTACTTACTTCTGTTGCTATTTACATTCCTTGGGCGATTTAAAAAAAGCATTTCCGAGGCAGTCAAAACTTTTGCCAGTGATCTTTTTCCAGTAAAGTTCGCGCAAAATTTCTAAGCATGGAGTTATCAAATAGAATAAAAATTAAGACTAAACTTTTGTAAATCAATGTTTTAAGCGTGATTAAGATGTAGGGTTGATAAAATAAGGCAATAATCTATATAAAATTCCAAATAAATCACAGGGTGTTAAACTAAATAGTGGTTAGAGAGCATGCATAGAAACATGACTATTTTCCCGAAAGAAGCTCTGAATATGTTGGTTGGCTTAACCAATACATAGGCAACCATTATGATTAGAACAAGTTAATTAAAGTTAAAAAAATAATAGTTTAAGCTATGGATCTTGGACAAATGACGTGCAAAACAAATGGACGTTAATTTTAAGAAGCGACAGATCACTTGACTTGGTACCTTCGCATCCTGCCATGTCATTGGCGTATTGACTATCTCGTAGCATTTATTCTCAAACATTAAAGCTGTACTGCTGATACACTGAGCTGAAATAGTAATTAGGGTATACGTGTTTACAAAGTCTAGATGTTTTAAAATTGAATCACCTAAACAAAGTTCACAACCCCGATATCTAGTCCGTATAATTTATATACACACAAAGAGGCATAAAGGTCAGGCATCAACATGATGAAATGAAAATCTCTCGAGCAAATGTGATCCATAACATCTCATCGCCTTGTTTGGTGCCACTTTGATCGGGGTACAACCTGCAGTCCTGGGCATACGGAATTCGGCACTTACAGTTTAGCGAGTGAATGCTCTTGAACACACTTCGTGTCTAATTGCGACATGTATATATACATGTCTAGGCTCCCCTATTATGTTCTGACAAAATTAGTTTTAAAAAAAAGAGTTCTCGTTCTATTGTATTATGTACCTGACATTGTTCCGAACAAGCTTAAAAGTAGGCACCAAGATAAACCCGACATGTTTGGCTGTTTTTTTAAGCTGCTGTAATCTTACATGGAAGGAATCGAATACGTTTAATGCGAATAAGTAGATACATTTTAAATAGGCTACAATCACAAATAACACGTGCTACTAGCAATTAGGGAAAATGTGTTTGAAAACAATAACGCAATTGACAGTTCACACTTGTAAATGGTAGCGATAAGAAATCCATTAACAGTTGTTTACATAAGGTAAACAGCGTTTTTGGGCATAACTTGGCGGGGGGGGGGGGATGTTGTTACAACATACTTAACTAAACAGAAAACATATACTTTAACCAGTGTCCACCCCCAACCAGGAAATTTTAGTAAATCCATCCCCCTGGAAAAAGTCTATCCCCCCCCCCCCGAACGAAATTGAATTTATATAGCAAATATATACTTTTACCAGTGCCTTCCCCCCGGGGGAAAAAGTCTGAAAGAAACACTGCCCCCTACCCCGCCCCCTTCCGCTACCGCTTAGATACTAATATCTGAAAGAAGCCTGAGTTTAAAATTGCATTTTCTAAACAAAGTCATTACATCTAGATCTATCTCATGTCATGAAAGAGATAATTTTATGTTATTGATAAAATGTAGCTAAACGTTAAAAGCTTAAGAAAGTTGTTAACCTATTCTAATTTATTTATTTTTTACACTTTACATATGTATGCTTTAGAATAAAATACTTCGCAGTAAGTTAGTAGTTAGTATACATGTTCCGATAAAATAAACTTATTGCGAGGTTTATATTTTTATTTCTAGAAGTTTATGGTATACATTTCGCAAGTGTAAACGCGGGTGTTATAGAATAGTTTTAGGGGCAGAGACAGTAGAAATAAAACTCAGTGATAAAATCCATAAAAAATAGATTACAATACAATCAATAAAGTCAACAGCAATTCAGTTACACGTGTTTCTTTTTGTAATTACAAAGCTCCGTTGTATAGGCTAGTGTTAAAAGTAATTTGTTTTTATGTGTTCTAGACAACTTCGCTGTTTTCATTTCTACACAGGCATTGCACTTTGTCCGAATGACAAACTATGTTGTTGTCATAGTAGTATGTTGTTGGATGTGGTCAGCTCTGTGGTGTTTTCACGTACAAAACACAAACACAAACATAAGCGGAGGCGTAGCAAAGGGGGGGGGGGGGGGGGGGCAGGGTGGTGCGGACCGCATCGGGTGACACCATTTAGGGGGGGGGGGTGACACCAAGGCAAAAAATAGCAAAATATATAGAGAAAAATTTGAGGGAGGGTGAAAACGAAAGTTTGAGGGGGGGGGGGGGGGGGCGCACATCGAAAGTTTGGGGGGGGGGGTGCAAATCGCAAATTCGAAAGTTTGTCCCCGGGAATGGTCGCTACGCTTCTTTGGGGTGACACCATTAAGTGCCGTAATTTAAGCAGAGGGTCTAAACAACACTCCAATCAAACAAAATCGATGTGTTGATTATATATTTTTTAAACGTTAAGTCATGTCATTCTTGAACACTTGCTTTTTTTCTCGAGCAGAGTTTCTTCCAGGCATCTCTTCGGGGGGCAGAGCCCGCCCCCCCCCCCCCCCCCCCCCCCCCCCCCCTCGAAGAAAGTCTACCGTCGTCCCCCACCCCCCACCCCCGAACGAAATGAAATTTATATAGAAAATATATACTTTTAACAGTGTCCGCCCCCCCCCCCCCCAAAGAAATTCTACCGCCCTCACCCCCCCCGAAAATTTTAAGTGCCCCCCCCCCCCCGGAGAAAAAGTCTGGAAGAAACACTGAAGCCCAGCATCTATACACATATTTTTTTCTGCTATAAATATATTAGGTTTTTGTACTGCTAGGCTGGCCTGTACATATATTTTTATACTGCTAGGCTGGCCTGCACATATATTTTTATACTGCTAGGCTGGCCTGCACATATATTTTTATACTGCTAGGCTGGCCTGTACATGTTCCAAGTTCACGGAGCCGCCAGCAACAGTTCAACGTTGAAGCTAGCACTAGGCCAGAACGACACCATATCTGTTACAGCCTATAACAACATGGCGGGCCTTGGTATAAACATTGCCAGTGAGTAACATCTGTTTGAAGTCTAATCGTGAGCATCACTGGAGGTGAGGGGGGGGGGGGAGCTGTCCGCACCAGTAGACACTATATGGGATGACACCAAATCGAAAAAGACGAAAAATCTACTGTCAAAACAGTGTTTTATCCAGTTAAAATATAAAATAGTTGTAGGAAAGTCGAGTGACACCATCAGCTACTGCAGCGGGTGACACCCGAGCTAGAAACGTCGTTTTATTATGCTCCTTATTTCGGGTTATTAAATTTTAATTACAACTAGACGTTTAAGGTAGAACTACACTAGTATCTCATTAAAAGTTTGAGATACAAATACTCATACTTATGCTTATTAGAAGATATTAGACATTGAGTCATAGATGCTAACGATCTTATAATGTGGCACGGTTAACCGCAAAGTACGCCCATTTTATGTGTATAAAACCAAGCCCCAGATCCTTGAATGTCTATGCAGGTAAGTTTGAATGTGTGTGCAGGTAACTCTGAATGTTTGTTCATGTAACTCTGAATGTTTTTGCAGGTAACTCTGAATGTTTGTTCATGTAACTGAATGTTTATACAATTAACTCTTAATGTTTATGCAGGTAACTGAATGTTTATGCAGGTAACTCATCGTCAACACGTTCTCCGGTTTCCTCATTGAAGAGGAGAACTATTGATGTGCTATAGGGTCATCCACAAATTATATAACAAATTAGTTTTTACTCATTTAGCCACGGGATTACTATATATAGCCAGTGTTTTTTCAAGACTTTTTTTGCCCGGTGAGGGATGGGGGGCACACAATTTTCGGGGGAAGGGGGGCGGACACTGTTAAAAGTATTTATTTTTTTATATAAATTCCATTTCGTTCGGAGGGGGGGGGTAGACTTTTTTCGGGGGGGGGGGGAGGGAGTAGCTCTCCAGCTCCTCAGAAGAGATGCCTGGAAGAAACTCTGTATATAAAGTTATACAGATTTTTCCTTGAGCACCGCCGGTCATATAAACATTTCTAGTATACCGCCTGCCTCCTCCACCCCTCCCTTTAAAACAAACGAGAAGGAATACGTTACTACAAAATAAATTAGGAACATGACAATATATCGGGGGGGGGGGGGGCAGACTAAAATAATTTCCGGGGGGGGGGGGGTCGGGCACTGTTAACAGTATATTTTTTCTAAATTCCATTTGGTTCAGGGGGGGGGGAAGCTCTTCTGCCCCTCCGAAGAGATGCCTGGAAGAAACTGTTTATAACGTTATACAACTTTTTCATTCAGCACCGCCTGTCATATAAAACATTTCTAGTATGCCGCCCGCCTCCCTTTAAAAAAACGAGAAGGAATACGTTACTACAAAATAAATTAGGGACATGACAATATATCGGTAAAATCAGTTTATTTATAACGGTAGGGTTTCTCTCTGACATTTTCTGGGGGAGGGGGCATTTGAAGCGGTGACTGATATAAATCATGTAAAACAGGTGTAATTCTCTAAATTTAAAATAAAAATTATACCAGTTGTGTCAACTGAACAAAGCTTTACCTGCTTCGATCTGTGTTGATAGTCAATGCAATGTTCCAGATCAACATGCAAACTGGTACAAACATTCGTATAAAGATTCCTGAAGGTGTTCCCGATAATAGATCTACATTCTGTTGATATGTATAGCATACATAATCAGAAGGTAAAGAACACATAGCAACTTACTCTCACTGTGTGATACTACACTCACTCACTCACACAGAGGAAAGCATTAGAACATCTTGCTTTCCAAGGGGCATTGCTCTAGTTGGTAAACTAATGGGTCTCCAAGAATGCCATTGAATCTTTTTGGATACATTATTTCACAAACTTTCAGAACTTGAAGTCCTCTAATATGACGTCATAAAGATATGATTCCACCCCCCCCCCATTCCCCCGGTCAATAACAGACAATAATTTTAACGAATATAAACATTTGGCATACTTTTAGTCCGATATACAGGAGTTTAATATTTGGACAGGTAATTGGTAAACTATAAGAAAGCTCTAAAAATGTATTAGTGATGTATTGCCAATCCAACTGTGCTAAAGCAATGTGAAAATAAATTGATTAAAAATACAGATTTTACTTATGGTTTTTATAATTTTGACTGTGTTCTGATGCAAAAAAATATGAAAAATTAACTCTGAAACTCAAGGTGTTATTACTATAGCTTTCCGTCCAGTTAAGGGGAGACACCGCCTCTAATTTTTGTTTTTAAAATTATGTTTCAAGGTGTCTAATAAATTTACATGTTAACATTCTTTACTCTGTGTAGACAAAAAAATAGTGTTAAATATCGCTTAGAAATGCTTGTTGCTATAGAAACTACGATTTTGTGTGAAAATTGAATCCTCTTTACAAATGTTTAAAGGAAAACTGTAGCTGCCATCTTTAACGACAAAACAAGGATGAATAGGGCAACTTCGTCCCACAAAAATGTACTAGTAGACAGGGGCTGGAGTGAAATCCGAAGATGAAGAGTAAAGGGGTAGGTGTGTGTGTGTGTGTGTGTGTGTGTGTGCTGGAGGGGGGGGTCAGAGATGTTGGACTGACATGGCCAGAGAAAAAGAAAAAATGTACGTATCGAGTTCCTTTGCCAAGATGCCTTTCGGTCCACTCCAATGTTACTTAATGTAATACGAAATTATGGGGAGTGTTACTGCTTATAAAAAAAGTAAAAGTAAAGTTTCCCTTTCAAACCTGACGGTCTATGGGGCAAGTGAAGTAGAGTTCACTTGTTTCTGTGACCTCGGCATATGAAGAGATAGTGTGGTCAGCACTATGCCCAGCCGCCTTTACTTTCCCTAACGTGAGTTGGGTGGACTCAGGGACGGTCTACTGACTTGAACCCGGATTCGAACTCGAGAATAACGGGTTAGCAGGCCAGCTCTCTACCGCTAGACCACTCCGTCCCATGTTACTGCTTATGCTGGGTTATTTATTTTTAGTCTTTGAGTGACGTTCCACGCTCGCAGTT